TATATTATTATACATATATAGGGGTTATCAGGTGAAGAAAATCCTCGGATATCTCCGCGGAGAAAACTTGATTTTTTCCCAGAAGTGTGTTTATTTTCCGAGGCTGTGGGTCCCAGTAAGCACTAGAGGTGGCACCTCTTTATATAATATGTTATTGATGTTACGTAATGTTAAATATATATAGGCTGATCAAAGTCTGATAGGTAAAGTAAATTACATTATATATTAATTTGTAGAAGATGGAGCGAGGGTACAAAATAATTTGCTTTCTCAGTTCAAAACATACTTTTTTTTTTTATCAGTTCATGAGAGAGAATTCTCGAAAAGATTGCTGTTTTATGGCAGTTCAACTGATTTGACCGACACCAACTTACACACACACACACACACACACACACACACACACACACACACACACACACACACACACACACACACACACACACACACACACACACACACACACATCAATCAGATAACTGCTGCAGCATATGGGCGCCTGGCAAACCTGAGAACAGCATTCCGACACCTTAGTAAGGAATCATTCAAGACACTGTACACCGTGTATGTCAGGCCCATACTGGAGTATGCAGCACCTGTTTGGAACCCGCACTTGATAAAGCACGTCAAGAAACTAGAGAAAGTACAAAGGTTTGCCACAAGGTTAGTTCCAGAGCTAAGGGAATGTCCTATGAAGAAAGATTAAGGGAAATCGGCCTGACGACACTGGAGGACAGGAGGGTCAGGGGAGACATGATAACGACATATAAAATACTGCGTGGAATAGACAAGGTGGACAAAGACAGGATGTTCCAGGGAGGGACACAGAAACAAGAGGCCACAATTGGAAGTTGAAGACACAAATGAGTCAGAGAGATATTAGGAAGTATTTCTTCAGTCATAGAGTTGTAAGGCAGTGGAATAGCCTAGAAAATGACGTAGTGGAGGCAGGAACCATACACAGTTTTAAGACGAGGTTTGATAAAGCTCATGGAGCGGGGAGAGAGAGGGCCCAGTAGCAACCGGTGAAGAGGCGGGGCCAGGAGCTAAGACTCGACCCCTGCAACCACAAATAGGTGAGTACACACACACACACACACACACACACACACACATCAGATGAGGACCAGGCAGGATTACAAAGAGACCTGGACAGGCTGGACACGTGGTCCAGCAACTGGCTTCTTGAATTCAACCCTGCCAAATGCGAAGTCTTGAAGATTGGGGAAGGGCAAAGAAGACTGCAGACAGAGTATAGGCTAGGTGGACAAAGACTGCAAACCTCACTCAACGAGAAAGATCTTGGGGTGACCATAACACCGAGCACGTCTCCGGAGGCACACAGCCAGATAACTGCTGCAGCATACGGGCGCCTGGCAAACCTGAGAATAGCGTTCCGATACCTTAGGAATCATTCAAGACACTGTACACTGTGTACGTCAGGCCTATACTGGAGTATGCAGCACCAGTTTGGAACCCACAACTGGTCAAGCACGTCAAGAAATTAGAGAAAGTACAAAGGTTTGCAACTAGGCTAGTTCCGGAGCTCTGGGGAATGTTCTACGAAGAATGGTTGAGGGAAATCGGACTGACGACACTGGAGGACAGGAAGGTTAGGGGAAACATGATAACGACATACAAAATGCTGCGTGGAATAGATAAGGTGGACAGAGACAGAATGTTCCAGAGTGGGCAGAAACAAGGGGTCACAATTGGAAGCTGAAGACTCAGACGAATCACAGGGATGTTAGGAAGTATTTCTTCAGTCATAGAGGCGTTAGGAAGTGGAATAGCCTAGCAAGTGATGTAGTGGAGGCAGCAACCATACATAGCTTAAAGACTAGGTATGACAAAGCTCAGGAAGCAGAGAGAGGACCTAGTAGCGATCAGTGAAGAGACGGGGCCAGGAGCCGAGTCTCGACCCCTCTAACCACAATTAGGTGAGTACACACACACCGTGGCCTGGTGGCTAAAGCTCCCGCTTCACACACGGAGGGCCCGGGTTCGATTCCCGGCGGGGTGGAAACATTTCGACGCGTTTCCTTACACCTCTTGTCATACCTAGCAGCAAATAGGTACCTGGGTGTTAGTCAACTGGTGTGGGTTGCATCCTGGGGGACAAGATTGAGGACCCCAATGGAAATAAGTTAGTCCTCGATGACGCACCGATTTTCGTGGGTTATCCTGGGTGGCTAACCCTCAGGGGTTAAAAATCAGAACGAAATCTTCACACACACACACACACACACACACACACACACACACACGCACACACACAAAATCTCGACGGTATTTCAATGTATTTTTATTTTACAAACAAGCATATAGCTAGCAGTTCCCCACGCTGGGTCACCTTGACATGTTGGTAATAGGGTGTTAGTGGTTTCTCCCTAGGGGTAGGGCGCCCTCTACTCGGGGAGATTATCCACTCTCCCACAGATACATTTAAGAACCCAACATCTCATTCAGGAACGAATTACGGATACAAATAGACCACTTCCACTTCTTCCTCACTCTGTCCTGTCCGTCATTCTCTCCTATATATACTGGCTCCCTCACCTTCGTGTGTTAGTCTGACTTGTAAATGGTCAAAGTCGGACCGAAACGTCATAATCATCTCTCTGCTATGTGCGAGTTGTTTGTGTATTACATTCACGGTATTGTGCCTTTTTGTTCCTTATGGATACAAATTGTCGAAGGTGAATAATTTACTACGAATAATTATGTTTCTCTGTGATTATATCTTTAATATGGCAATGAAATAATCACGATAATATGATGATAATGTTAAGTGTAATTTTGATGTTAGAAACGGTATATGTTTAAGACGCTGAAATAACATGACGGTCCTCATGATTCACTCAAAGCATCGACACAGTGAGCAGGAGACATAATGACTAGGCTACTTGTAACAACCGTCAAAACAATTAAACTGCAGGTAACAAGCTCTTAAACAACTGGGCTACCTGTAACAAATTCCAAAATTAGGCTGCAGTTAACAAGCTATAAAACAACTAGGCTACAGGTAACAACTTCTAAAACTAACTAGGCTAAAGGTAACACCCTCGAAAACTAGGTCACATGTAATAAGCTCTTAAACAATTAAGCTACAAGTAACACGAAATAACGAGGCTATATCTAACAATGTATAAAACAACTAGGTTACAGGTAACGTATAAAATAACTAGGCTACATCTAGATACTTATAAAACAACTGTCTAGACTACAAGTAACAACTTATAAGAAACTAGGCTACAGGTAACAACTTCCAAAGCAGCTAGACTACAGGTAACAACTTATAAAACAACTACACTACAAGTAAAAACTTACAAAACAACTAGGCTCCAGGTAAAATACAAAGCAACTAGACTAAGGAGAAAAATCTTTGATAATATATTTTAATACTGAGTGCTTATTCTCTGTTTAGAATTATTAGTAGAAGTCGTTAGTACGTACAGTTATTTAACGATGGCAGTAATGTTACACTAACATTAATATTACCTTTGTAAAAAAAAAATACGGTCAGTTTACAAATTTCGATATATATATATATATATATATATATATATATATATATATATATATATATATATATATATATATATATATAATATGCACTTAATTCGCAAACAGGCGAAATGATTTACATTGTCTCTGTCCACAGCAGGACTCGAACCTGTTAACTCTGTATGAGAGTCCACAGTACTTTACCGCGGAACTAGACCCGCGATAAGTATGGGCACTTAGCCGAAGCTAAGTGGTGTTTCCCCATACCCCCGGGCACCAAGCCCGGTTCCGTGGTAAAGTGCTGTGGACTCTGATGCAGAGTTAGCAGGTTCGAGTCTTGCTGTGGACATAGAGACAATGTAAATAATTTGGCCTGTTTGCTAATTGCTAAGCATTTCAAGTCTCTATCGTTGTCCACTGAATGTGGCAGGATTCGATGAAATATCTTTCAAAACGGGCTTGGTGCCCGGGGGTATGGGGAAACATCGCTTAGCTTCGGCGGATCTAGTTCTGTGGTAAAGTACTGTGGACTCTGATACAGTTAGCAGGTTTGAGTCCTGCTGCGGACATAGACAATGTTTATATATATATATATATAATATATATATATATATATATATATATATATATATAATATATATTAGGAAATAAGCCATTGTAGTTCTTGTGAAAGTCTACCCATATATTTAGTTCTGTTTCACTCGCATTAGACAGAGCATATTTTCAACTCTCATTTGTATCGTATAAAAAAAAAAATTCAGTAAAACTTTGCTTATATGAGATCATAGGTTTAATTTCTATTTCATGTGTGTGAGGACATCGAACTCTATTTCATTTGGGCATGTTTAGTTTCTTGTAGGAAAATACGAGTAAAAAAAAGGGCTGAGATATCAACAGCAACACTTATTCTTTTTTTTTTTGTATTACCTAATACTCCATTGTAATTATGAGAAAAGAAAAATAACCATTGTGCAAAATAAAACTCTAGTAATTACGGGGATTACAAACGTCCAAGTTCGATGACCAAGGAAGGAAGTAATGTTGCAGTGGTCTTGCCTGTGATGCGCAACGAATATTACAATAAGAGAAGAAAACTGTCGAGGAACAATAATAGAGGAAAGAATTTTAGGAATCGTTGCAGGAAAACGCCTGGAGATATTGCGGCACTGGAAAGCAGTTGGGTTAAAGAATAATGATAACACCGTGGCTGGAACAGATCACAGATAACCCGCATTTAGGAAACTTACAACGTTTCGGTCCGTCCTGGACCATTGTTAAATTATAATTGGCTTAGTACGTTATGCAAATGTGTGTGAAATTACTTGAAGTTTCTGAAGATCCAGATCTTTTAAAGGTTAGATTAGGCTTACCGCTTCCTCAGAAAAATAATTAAAATTAGAAATAATAATTAGAATTTGAACTAGAATTAGTAATCATTAGAATTAATGCATCTCTGGTACTGAGAATTGTGTTGAGCATGCGAGTGTTTGCAGGTTACGACTGGACGCTGCTGCCCATGACACAGAAATCTTCGCTGAAGCATCGAGCTCACATCAAGAGACCCATGAATGCCTTTATGGTGTGGGCGCAGGCAGCCAGGCGCAAGCTGGCTGACCAGTACCCCCAGCTGCACAACGCTGAACTTTCTAAGACCTTGGGCAAGGTCTGGAGGTAGGTGGTGGTGGTGTGCATGGTGCTGCAAGGTGGTGGCAGTGGTTGAAGGTGATATGTAATTCAAAATCAAAATGTATTTCGTAATTGGTGAACATAGAAACGCAATTTTGGAAACCAATACATTAAGAGAAACTATTGCTACATTGAAATCAAAGTACAGTGGACCCTCGAATTTCATCATCCCTTTTCTGTGTGTAAAACTATAGTTATCCTCTATAAAATGTATTTTTTGTTTATATTTCCCATAAGAAATAATGTAAATCCAATTAATCCATTCCAGACACCCAAAAATATTAAAAAAAAAAATGCATTTTATAGAGAATAACTATAGTTTTACATTCAGAAAAGGGATGATGAATATCATTGACTATAC